TTGTATCCAAGAAGTTTGAGAAACATAGGCTATGGTGCCACCTACATTAACCTGTTTACCATTATCGTGAAATTTTCAGGGAGAAAAAAGTGTTAGATGCCAAGATTATAAATGTGAGTTTGGCATGACAATAAACTTATCTTGTTAGGTTAATAACTCACAGTTCCTGAGATCTTGGGAATCTCTCCAAGTACTGCATACAAAAGAGATGATTTTCCAGCACCAACCGGCCCACAAACTGCAATTTTCTGTCCCCATTTGATTTCCAAATTCACATCTCTTAAAGTTGGGGACACTGATTCATGTTCCCAAATGAAGTTGCCAGCTTGTATTTCCACTGCATTAACGGGACTTTGCTTTATATTTCTTCCATAATCATTAATACTATCTAGCTCTTCATCAAGCAAGAAGGTATTGAGACGATCAAGGGAGACCTTAACTTGGATCATAATAGATAGAGCCTCTGGGATCATTCGAACAGGTTCTCCCATTATCCTCAATGCTGTAACGACTGTGAAAATGGTTCCAGCATTCAATGGGGCACTATTGAAAAGAGCACATCCGAGGAAAACAACAGAAGGAACAATGGTAGGAGACATCCAATACAGAAATGCTCCATTAGCTTTTATGATCTGTGCCTTGGACAACCATATGAATTCTTTAGCACGTAGGGACAAAACTAAGTTCTTGAATTTATCCTCCCAGGATTGTAACTTGATGATCTTCATATTGTTTAGAATTTCTGAAGTTGATCTGAGACGCTCATCTTGTGCCATCATGAATTGTGACTGAGAATTTTGTATGATCTTTGCCATTGGTACATTGAGAAGTCCACAGATGAGAAGAGGGACTAAACCTGGAAGAGCACCAGCACCCACAACACAGAAAAGGAGAAGAATAGACAAAACAAGTTGCACTACAGAAGTCCACGTTATATGAAACCACCAAGGAAATTCTCCCAATCGATACGCATCAACAGCAATGTAATTCACAACTTCTCCAGTTGAGTGCCTTCTCCTAGCTGAGCTAGAAAGCTTTAGCAGTTTCTGATACACTGCCACCATCAGAGCTGATCTAATTTTCATTCCTGACCTCCTTGAGCCAAAACAGAAGTGTCTCTGGGACACAGACTCAACCACTTTGGTGAGAATCATAAAACCCAGTATGGAAAAACCTTCTTTGAGATCTGCCTCAGTTCTATTTGAGTAGTTTACAAAAGCATAGAGTATTATTGGAGAAACTATCATGCAAATACTTCTGAGTAATGTGTAAAATCCCATTATTATGTTCTCCTTTGAGAAAGTTCTTACTACAGACCAAAGAACCAAGTTTTTAGTATTGTTATTGCGGTTCTCCCTCAGAAGGGATTCCCATGCATGCACAAAGTTTCGGTAGGCCGAGCCTGCTTCATCTTCAGAATGAAGAAATGGGATATCTTCAAGAGCTAGTGGCTTTGAGTAACCCAGTCTGAGTAAAGAATTAACCCAAGAGAAAGTCAACTTACTGAGAAGGGTAGCATGGCCTAGTTGTGTTTGTGTAGTTTCAACTCTCTGAGCTATCAAAGGTTCAGATAAACTTGTAGTATCTTGGATACCTTGGGAAGTGACAAAATAACCAAGATTTTGGAAAGTACAAAAGAGAAGTAAGAAATGTACAAGCCATTGTACCATGTCAAAAAGTTCAACTGCATGCTCTTTGAACATAATTTCAATGTTGAGAGCTGAAGCCAATACACAGGAAGATGCCCACCAAATAGAGTTTAGAATTTTGATCCATTTGTTTCTCTGAACATGCAATGAAACTGTAAAAGAAAGCCATACAAATGCTCTGAAAATACAAGCTAAAGAGCTCTGCTGATTCCACAACTTCAACCCATTGCTAAAATGTGCAATGCTAATGATAGCACAACAAACCGAGACAACTGGGAAAACCCAGTTCTTTCTGTTGCTGCCACATGCAGGTCGTCTTCTGATTAATGTAATAAGCAAAGACGTGTAGAAGACGCCGAGAAAAAGTAGTTTTATAATGTCTAATATGCTACTTTGGGAGCACAAAGAAGAGAAATCAAAATCTCTCAGGCAAGTCCATGAGAAATCCGCTGCATATCCAGTAAAAGAGAAATACTCTAAGTTCATCACTTCCACAGGTAACATTCCAAATTCATTGCTGAGTTAATAAAAAACTATCATATTCAAAAACCAAAGCCAACTGCGTGGAACAAGGTGTACTAGAGATCCCTTTATTTCTTAAAGAAATTGTGAACACATGACCCCCAGATAAATTAAAAATCCTCAACTTAATACAAAGATTTATATTCAAACTTTTGGTGCTTAATTTGGATGTAACATCAATATATTATAATAAAATGATGACACATCATTTCTATTTTTATTGAATAAATATTACATTTACTAGTTTACATCAATATATTATTGAATGTCAGCCATTTGATGGGTAAAAACACCATAATGCAAAAACTCAACGTAATATGATATGGCTAACAAGTAACAATAGGAAAAAGAAGTTAGAGCAAGTATAGTAAACCTATGTTAATCCCAAAGTAAGTCATTTTTGGAGGTTGAATGGCTTGCTTCTTTTGCAGCGGAGCAGTCTTTGAGTTTGCTCCTTGCAGTAGCAGAGCAGTCTCGTGTTTTCAAACACATTCATGAGTGGTTACAACAATAAATAAGGAAATGAAAATAAATATTAAATTATAAAATAAAACGTCAATCACATTGGAATCATTAAAAATTATTTATCTATTTTAATTAATGTGAATGAACACTTCATAAGCTGTTATTGTGGACATATTGCGATTGTTGGTTTTGAATACGTTGTTATCCGAGAAAACTCCTTAAAAAAAATTTTAAAAAAAACTTGATATTGACCTGTACAACATTAATTAATTTGAAGACATTAAAAATATTTTAAAAAATGTGCATCATTAAAATTAAATATGTTATTAAGTAGAATAAAGTGTTGCATTAAATGTTAAAACTAAATAATTATCAAATAGTTGTTGAATTTATGTGAAAAAATACATTGATAAAAATTATATTAATTGCACAAATAATTTTTGAATTAATATTTAGACGAATGTATAGTAGAATTTGTATTTTGAGAAAAACTTTGAATATATATTTATTTTATATAATACTGTAAGAATATTAAGAGTAACTTTTAATATCTCCTAAATTAATATTTAATATTCTATATTAAAATGTAGGAGAATGATTAATCCACTTCAAATTTTTAGGTTTTAATTCAAAAAATTTCTTTTGATATGTATTTTTTTTTGTTTACATATTAATCATTATTTATTATTCAATAACTGATATTTAATAAATGGATTTTTTTTCAATAATTAATTTTTAATTTTTTATGATATAATTTCTAATATATCAACTCAAACATTTTAATTATTAAAAATATTTATTTTTAATTATACATTGTTATTATATTTTGTTTTATTTTTATTTTATAAACTTTTCAATCATTTTCAACACATGTGATACATTGGTAGTTATTAATGATCATACTATTACGGTTTTTTTTTTAATTTGACTCCTCTAAAGTGAAAATTAAATTTTAGAAAATAAATTAAAAAATCAATTGTTGAGATTATAATTAATTTTAGCTTTTATTTTGTAAGAGTTCGGTTTTATTAGGATTGTTAATAGTTGATTTTTTAATCTACAATTATAAGTATACTTCATCTTCTACAGTACGTCCTCAATTTTAGAAGAATCAAATCAAATTTTTTTTATTATCAATGAGTATCTCTCATCAAATATGGAGACTAATCTCTTTTGGAGATTTGATAAACATCAAGTAAGTGCACATACTCTCTTTATTTGTATTTTTCACATTAGCGAGAACTAATAAGATCCAAGCCTTAGTTAATTAATTAAACAACGTAAATCTCTCATTAGTCGCTCTAATCCAAATTGGTACCGTACTATTAGGTAATGATTGCCTTTTCATTATTCACCAAATTAAATTAAAGTCAATACCTCTTCATTACAAATTAATTATTAATAATAAATGATGATTCAATATAATTTAAAATTATCTATTACAAATTGTAACATGATAATGAAATGATATTAGAATTTGTAAAAAAAACTAATAAATTTAAATTATATTTACTTATCAATTATTATTAATGATTAATTTGAAATTAGGAGACACAAAATCTCACATATTTGCCTACAATTCCAATAATATTTATATTTCTCACTATTTGTACATCAACCCTATGTAACGCTAGAATAAATTCTTGTGTAACATAGGAGTGAAATGTCAAAAACTCATTTTTCACAATGAAAAAATGTTCTTTACAAAAAATTAAGAGTGAAAAAGAGAAAATATTATCTTCTATTTTCATTTTTTTTATGAGGATTGTAGTGTGAGATGAGAAATGAATAGAAGATTGAACAAATAAATAAATTAAGTTAAGATTGAGTAGGTAATTTAGTAATGAGAAGGTGTAATAGAATATAAAACTATAATATGTCATGTTAGCAAAGGTGTTGATGTAACAAAGATTAATAAAACGGCATAACAATGAATAATGTATGATTAAAAAATATATCGATGTAACAACATATAATTTTATAGGTCATTTTTATATTATAAATGTATTTTAATTAATTCTTTAATGGTGTAATTCTTTTTATTATTGAGTTGTTGAAGTTATTTTATCAGGATTTTAAACGACTTAAAAATGACTATTTGTGACGATTTCAAAAACTTTAAGACTCAATTACATAATGTTTTCATGATCAAATATTCAATTACAACTTTTTAATTTAATAACCTAATAAAAAATTTCAAATAGTTCAAGGGTCTACTCATTAATTTAACCTTTTAATAACCTAATTATAAAATGAAAATTTTGATTAAATTTGAAAGTTAATAATAGAGGTTTTCTTTCTAACTTTCAACATTGCGAGCTTGTTATGAATTTTGTGCACTTGTTTTAAAGATGGAATAATTCTTGCACGAGTATGATGTTGATAGGCGCCACCAATCAAAAACTCAAAATAATATTACTTTAATACAGGTAAAACTTTTTGTGTTGGTTACAGATTGTCAAGAATTGCTTTATATGAAACTGTCTTATTATGTCCACATTAAATGAACGAAATTGCCAAATAAATATTCTCAAGTGAAAAAGGAAGGCCATCAAGCTATAGCTCAGATAAATATTAGCCATCAGACAAATAATCTGACAAGCCTAATACTAGGACAGACATTGATTGCTGCCTGCAGTTGTTGGCTGTATACAAATTTCATAGATCGTGAACTACTTCTATT